AAATATTTATTTGAACTGAAGGCGTGGCAAGCTTTTTTTTAGAGTTAAGTGGCTTTAGAGCCAAATGGAGATCATAATTTCAATCTACATCAAAAGCCCTCAAATGAGTTTTTTGACCTCCCCAAACTAGGTCCTCCGCGTCTAGTTACAGCCCTCCATGAATTTTGTATGGCGGTGGCAAACCTGCTCCAAGCGCGCGGTGGTGCTCGTCCGATGCCGCCAATTCAAAGGCGAATGTTATCTGTTTTTCCATTCTACTCAAAGCTTTTTTTTTTCATATTCTTTGTATTCTTTTCCATTATATGTTTGTTTCATTTAAAGTGTCACAAGGGTTGTCGAAAAGTGGCGATTCCATGGAGACTTTGTTTCTAAAAAACTGTGAAAGCCACCTCATGCAGCCCTGAGCAGCGAAGGTTATAACAAATTTTCAAGGACAATGATGTTTTACGTACCAAGTTGTCCACACCCGGCCATCGAGAAGGCGGCGTTGTTACCCTGATGTCATCTGTAACAGTTGAGGCACGAGTTCTTCGTGTAAGAGCACTGAAAGATGGCGCAGTGAGAAAAAAAATTCCACGTTGCACAAAGCATAGCTCCGGATAATATCCTGATGATAGTTTGAGTGATTGACGAACGTACCCAAGTTTTGCATCAGAATTAGTCATGGTTGGGAACTGGTCCAAATCACATAATGATTGGTAAAGACATGATGACAAGCCCTGGCTAAGGTTATATAACATATAGGCCTGTAACACATGCTTTTAGAGTGATAAATAGCTAGAGAAACATCGCCACCTTCTGCACATGCTTGTCAACATCAGGAACATTGGAGAGATCAGCAATGGTCGAAAGAAGATCATAGCACTGATTTTCAATGAAAGACATTGGTGAAGAAACGAACATTTTTGCCGAAGAGACTGATGCAACCAGAAGAGGGAAAGAATTGGCGTCAAGAACTGGCTCTAAAAGATGTTATATGCAAAAGACAGTTATATACAAAGAGGTGAATGAAAATCCTACCACTGAGATGAGCAACACCGGTATCCTTCTGTACTTCCAACAACAGTAGCAAGAGTTCCATAAGAGCAGAAGTGAGACGATGATTTTGAGCAGAATGTAGCGCACAAAAGGATGTGAACGATCTAAAGTTATAAAGTGAAAAAAGAAGCAAAAGATTTTCTGAAAAAAA